ATATTTAACATGCTGTTACTGCAGGTCCTTCCGAAACTCGACCTATCTTTGCTTGAGAGTTATTGTGGGAAGAAAGGAACACAAGTACTACCCACTGACAAGGTAGTACTCTTTTATGCACATCACATGATACGAGCTATCCATTGGAGAATTCTTTCACGAAGTTGATGGAACGAAGTTGAACTCTGGACTGTACCATCACCTTAAGTGTTCTGCTACGACATCATCCTCCAAAAGACGGATTATTTACTTAGGAAAGATGCAAAATGACAGACTAGAAACGGCATTCGAGCCCTCCTTCTTCTGACCATGAGTTGAGCACCCTCTTGACTCATCACCATAAAAATTTTCACAACACAGAGATCGTCAACAATTATGATCACATGCCTGATTTTCAGGATATCAAAGTCAGATTGCTGATATATGTCAACCTGTAGAGTCATCCTCATAATATTCTCTATGCACATACCGTCGCGTTGTTCAAGAGCAACTTGTGTATGTCGTTCTGGCGTAGTAATCCTTCTATAACGTTAAAGACAGAAGTTCACTCGCAATTCAGCCCATATCTGTAACAATTAGTCCGTATTTGCGATAGACGGTTCTGATGCATTATCTCCAGGGTTCTCAACTATAAATCATAGCACTATCTACTACAGCGAAAGTATATGCTCTGCACCCTTAAAAATTATAGCAGAAGCTTCTTAAACCGTGAAAGGCGATTCAGCTTGGGTTCATTCCGAAACGGATGGACCAAGACTCTGTATGGTAACACATAAACTGCTAATGAACTCATTGCTTTCTCACTGATCGAATTGCGTCCGTCGGCATTCACATAATATATAACATCGTCTGTCGCAGACCTGAGTCTCTGTAACTCTCATGTAAGTCAACTTGATTGTTCGCTTCCGAATTAAAATGAGACGTTGTTTGCATGGACAGTGGTTTACTGTGGATCGATCTGTGATGCTTACCTCGGCACGAATTCGTATAAAATCTAAAAACCGCAGAAGACATGAACTTCATTTGACTGTACTGTGATAATTATGTCGCGTTTCTTATTTTTGTACTGCCATTCTGATTTATTTCTTTAATTCGTGCCCTGGATCAATTTTTCGCTATCGGCTAACTTCAAAAACAGCCGCTGTGTTACTCTCATCATACTGGGCTTTCCAGACTGATACTTTCATATTCATATTGTTTTCTAACTTCTTGTGTGCTATTTATAATCTGGTAAAATGAAAACCATTTATGATTACGTGAAAGCGCAAAAACTCTGAAACTCAGAAATGCCCTCAGCGTCTTTAATGTATAATGCATGACGCATCTGAATATAACTGACTTTCATGTCGGATATTTGAATCCTTCGAAGAGAAGTACTAGGTCACATAGGAAATACAAATGCGTTACCATCGTGTTTTTTATCTGATTTTCAAGCACGTCCATGTAGATGCCGATAGGGCGCTCATTTGACATTGCTTCCTCCATTTTGTCGATCCAATCGACGACTTCTTCTGTTTTCTTGAAAAAAGCTGTAATGCCAGTAAGCATTTCGTCCAGCAGACGGGCAAAGGTCAGGGAACTGCTGCCGAGCGCATCGTAACGCCTTGTCACAGCTGTCACTTGCTCACTGAGAGCTTCGGCATCTTCCGACTGCAGAGAATCGACTAGACGTTGTGCCGTGTCGACGAACTCGTCTACTTGTTCTCTGTGCTGCCGAATTTCCTCGTGCAATTCCTATAATAAGAAAAATTTGCTGCACATATTAACAAGTGCAACTTAGTTTCATCAACATATTGAAGAAGGCAAAAAATAGAAAGAAAAGGGAATAAGCGTTAATTTTTCCGATTTATAACAAATCCCACTGTCTGTCACATTATCGGCCTGGAGAGCCATTACAGAAGAAAACGGTTAAACGCTAAACCTACAAACAAGTCGTTGTGTACGATGGAGAACAGACCATTCAAAGCATCGACGAAAATACGTTGAACTCAAACTTATAATGACATCACTACGCAATGCGTTTCGTATTAATGATTAAGGAGATGTGATACCTGTCACCGTAAAATTTTCAGATGCAATTTCTGGCAGAATTCTTCCACTGACTTCATGGTATGGTTCTAACCGAGTTTACAGTAACATGTACTAGAAGCGCTATTCATTAGAATAACTGCTACAGCTAAACAGCCATTACAGCATGCTGTCTCGTGTTCCCACTCCATGTAGTGAAACCGATTTACATTCATCATAAGAAAGGCGATGACCCATCGGGAATGGAATATGCAATCATCTCGCAGTGAAAGTAATGTTCTACTAACTGAGGTACCATAATAACTTACCAGTCTGCAACATCAATGTCATGTCACCTCAAGAAAAGCGTTCACTACTATACTAAGGCTTACATCTTCTTTCATTCTGCTTGTCCGATTTAGGTCAGGTTAATTAATCATATTCCTGCATTTAAATATGGTTCTATTGAATTTCGGAAAGCTCCCAACACAGCGACATGAATCATGTGATTCTTTCAAACACACCATTTTACACGCGCGAGGCGACAACATCTCGACTACCTTTTGCAGGTTGATCTGTTCGATTAATCTCTCTTCCGACGCGGCAACGTATTCCAATTTCTGCAACTGCCTCTCGGCTTGGTCCAACCACCGCACAACAGGCACGACTGCCTCATCATATTCTTTAGCCAAATCGCAGATGTTTCGCAATATCTGAGTTCTGTTTGTCTCGCTGATTGACAGCGCGTCGAATCTGCAATGGACGAGCATAAGTAACCGTGAACGTTAACGAACCTCGAAACATCGAACAGAGAAAGATTTACTACAATTTTATCTTAAAGGATGTTTGAGGGTAACGGAGAGGTATTGAAGGCAGCATGTTTCAGAGCGCGAAATGGGGCGTCTTGGTGAAGCCATTTTGGCACTGACCCTGGTCACCGTACTGAATCCGTGTAATTGGCCAGTGGTAAGCTGCATCAAATGCGT